GCCTGTGAGTGCCATTGGGTGGAGCATGTGCTCCAACATCATTCCCACCAAAGCCTACAGCCCCACATAAGCTGCTGCACACATGTACTTACCCTGGCTAGAAGGCATTTGAGCCTGCAACCACTGGACTAGTGATTCTAATTTCTGGTCATGCTAATATTCTTCTATGTGCTATCAGGGAATACACGTTTAGCAAATGACTACTTAGCACTGACTACAGTGAGGATATGCAATGGGCTATCAAATGAGAAGCAGCCAGGTTTGAGTTGAGCACAGAAAACTGGGTAGGGTTTAGATATGCAGAGAGAGCAGGCAAGGGTACCTCTGCAAGCAAAGTCATTCCCATGGCCAGGGTGAGCATAATGTAAGCTTAGTGGCTTGGAAGTCCAGGAAGTATTTCACAGGTATAGGTGGGACCAGCTTGACTCAAGAGGAAAGTGCCTCTAGAGGAAGAAGAGAGAGATATGGTAGGACATCTGAAAAGAGGAAGGTAGGCGTGGCTATTTCCAAACCAAATTCAGTTCACCACTCACCTCTGCTCTTTCAGCTATAAAATCAAGAATGAGTGCTTGAAACCTAAGGATGGCATAGGCAGGAGATAAGCCAAATATTAACGAAATGTGTATGCTATGGTCCTATAAGCAGAACAACATTATTACCCATTATATAAAACTAAAGCACCTTGGGGCCCTGCCTGGGGATCTGGGGGCCCAGGGCATGGATCCAGGACCGGAGCACCCCCCACATCACCACAACCAGGCACACCACCAGTGCCAAGGGGCATACCAAAAACATCACATCCATGTGGGTGGCCCACCACAGCCACCACAGTAACCACGGCTGCTGTGAAAGCAGCTAGACGTCACAACCACCACACAGATAGTCCACCAGCCACTGGAGCGCATTGACACAAGGAGGGTCACCAGCAGAGACCAAAGAAAAGAAGAGGCTGTCTCTCTCCACAAAGCCCATTCCAGAGTGACAGAAGAAGCATCTGCTCCATGATAATATTGAGGGACCTGATCACACCTCTCAGCATTGGACGGATCATCTAGGCAACAAATCAACAGAGTAACCATTACTCTTTCAGAAGGAGAGAAGAAATCTAGGGTTATCAGTGGAGGGAGGCGGGGAGGGAGAGGGGGATAGAGAGAGATTGGACAAGGGGTATAAAGAATAAGTACAGTTTGTAACAAGATACATACTATTAATATTGATTTGATCAACATATGTCAACATTGAATCCCCAAAATATGTTTAATCAATTATGATTCAATATAAACAAACAAACAAATAAATAAATAAAAATAAAGCACTCCCAGTCATAGGTTTGGATCCCTATACTGGCCAGCTGCCAAAACCAAAAAATAAATTAAAATAAGTTTTAAAAATAAAATTAATGCACTATAGGCCCACACAAAAAACACAGTGAAATACCCCAGCTGCCCAACAGGAGTGTGCAGGCAATAGCATAGTGATTAGGAACACAAGCTGAAAATACACTGGCAAGCTGGGGGGAGAAAAGCATGCTACAAGCAATATGTTTATTAGGATACTATCTGGGGGTAAAAACAAATATGTATAAATGCATAGAAAAATTGGAAAAACATACTGTTTTAACCTCTCTTTTTTAACATGTTTTGTAAAAGAAGGAAATAAATTATTTAATGATAAAAGTAATAACACTACCTTTGCTTTAGGTAAGTCTTTTCATCTTCCAAAGCTTTTTCATACTTTCTCATTTTTACTAATTTAACTTTTACAGCCACTGTTAAACTGCTACTCAGCCAAACGCCTTCATGCCAAGCTACCTACTACACAAAATCCTGAAATCCATCTATCTACCCCCAAATAGACAACCTTTCCACTAAATGACCATCTTTCTTTAACCAATATCTTTGTTAACAGTCAAGTAACTGGTTTTCCCCAATTTGACAGAACAAAGACACATAAATCCATTTTTATAGCCAGAGGCTTTTTACAAGTAGTTTTAAGATGTGATGTTTAAGTTAATGATGCAATGTGGTAAGGTAGCATAAGCCATTCGTTAAACCAGGGGTCTAAGCCACACGTCCCAGGGCCTGGCTAAACTCGTTTGGCTGTGTGATGCTAAATACCTGCAGCAACAGTCCATTCCAACGCACATACTGCATTAAGGTTCCATGGTAAGACTGCGAGTTGCTTCCCCCGCCAACCATGCTCTTCCTTGGTAACAGACCCTGATTATTAGCTGGGCTCAATGCCACCCAGAGTAAAAGCCTCCACTTCCCAGCTCCTCTGCAGCTAGCCATGGCTATGTGACTACGTTCTAGCCAATTAATGCAAGTAGATGTCCTGGACTTCTGGGAAATTAATGGGAGCAGACTCAGCACAAGGGGCACTTTTTTCTGGGCTTCTGCATTTTCTCCTTCTTCAGGACTGTGACTTGGACCAAATAACCTGGGTTCCAGCAGCCATTGGGGACCATAAAACAATAGTGAAAATGCAAGCCATGTACTGGGATGATGCACTAAAACATAGGAGCCTGGGTCCCTGATAGCACTGTGAGCTGCCCTAAAATCCTCCAGACTTCTGTTCCAAGATAAATAAATTTATTTGTTTAGCTATTGTTCTTTTGTTTTGTTTTTTAGGTTATGTGCAGTCAAACCTAAACTTAATGCAGATTATTCTCATATATTAACATAGAATATAATATGCCAAACATGTTTCACTGCCAGTAAACAGCAAATTACTTTTTTAACTAGGTGACCAGGATAATAAAACATTTTAATAAGTCACTTTTTGCTGAGGCTTTATAACAGCTAAGTATTTATCACCAACTACTTTCTCTTTCACAAAGACAGCCCCCGTGTTCACATAATCTTTTCACTATTGGTTCAAAGTCAACCAACACATAATTCCTAGTATTCTGCCCTTACATGACAGTGACCAAAATTAAATTATCAGGAACCCCTAATAAAGAGTAAGGGAAACAGGCCAGTGTTCCCAAGTCTGCAAAACACAAAGAAGCTACGACTCCAAAACTGGAAGCAATGGGCAAAGAAGTGGCTTAACATTTCTAAAATGATTTTCAAGTTGTGCACACTGCAATATAATAAGAATGATGGTGTCACCAAAGCTCATACTGGATATAAATAATCCCAGGCACATATCCACCCACAAACAAAAACCAAGGAGCTACTCTAACTCACATGTGAGGTTTACAGCAGGCATCACCATCAGCACCAACCATGCAGTCCAATGGACCATGTGCATTTCCGGGCATCAATAGTCTTGACAATTTCCTTTAAAATACTACCTTATACATAAGTCTAACTCCTGCCACAACACACTACACCTGAAGGCTCCCCCTTGGCAATCCTAAAACCCATATACGGACAAAGAAAGGGCCAGAGCTTTGCTCCTGCATAACAGAATGACAGGTCTCGCACCCTCTCCTGCAAACAGCAGAACTTTGGCAAGGCAGCGGTGCCTTCACTCCCAAACACAAATCTCACAAAAGGTAAAAGCTCGTATGTATAGCTTGAAATTACATTCAAATTTCAAACTTCATCAAGGAAATGACTAACTTTTACAATTCTATTATCCTAGCTTAACTTTGTAAATGGGCTCAATTATGTAACAAATAAAAATAAAGCACTCCCAGTCATAGGTTTGGATCCCTATTTTTTTTTTTTTTTTTTTTTTTAAAATAAATTAAAATAAGTTTTTTTTTTTTTATTTTT